TAACCTTGGTGGAGGTGGAGGTGGTGGTGGAATGCTTCCACGGACCCCTAACCCTGGGGGCGGAGGTGGGGGAGGAGGGGGAGGTGCAAAGTGCCGTGTTTGTGCTCCAAAAGACATAGGAGGAGGAGGAGGAGGAGGAGGAGGTATGTTTGACAAGCATACTGAAGCCGGTGGTGGTGGTGGTGGTGGCGGTGGTGGTGGTGGAGGAGGTGGTGCTAGGTGTGTAGCTGAACTTGAAGAAGCATAAAATGGAGGTGGTGGTGGTGGGGGTGGAGCAGGAGCTGTAGCTTGGATTCTTGGCGCAGCTTGTGCACCTGACAACAAGGGTCGTCGTGCAGGGAATCGAGGAGACAACATTGCATCTTGTGTTAAGTGATTGCCGTACAGCGTTCCAGGTAGTACTAGAGATGGTCCTTTCACAAAATTGCCTTTGTTATCTGTAGACACGGAACGGATAGCTAGTGCAGCTGGAGAACTGTCATATCTGGATGGAGGGTGCGATGGCCTACGCACAGAGGCAGTTTCAGATTCCTTCTTGGGTGAGATCCATCTACGTATTGTTTTTGGTTTGGCCGGCTTTGATTGTTCTTCCAGTTGTTCGTTATGCCCAAGCATTGCCTCCAGTAACACTGACCCAGGTGCATTACCTACTGGTATCTTCTTTGATACTGAGGACAAGGATTTATCATCCCTAGCTTCTGTTTTTCTTTGAGGAAGAGGCATGCCAAAATCCTGTCTGCCACCAAACTCTTCTCGCTTGGCTTTCATTTCTATTGATATTTCATTAGCTGGTAATACAACAATACTATCCTGCAGACTGCTTTTCTTCGCATGTATGGTATCTCCAAGACCAGATTTCGATTTACTATGATTCAGTCTTCTGTCAGCTGTATCAGCAACCTTAACCAGTTCTACATTGTAACTGTTATTATCTTCTGAGACAATATTCTCAGTAGCAGTTCTGTCTATCTTTGAAATAACACTCTCTTCCTTGACAACAGTTTTTACCTCCTGCACAAAGTTTCCATTATCAACTACTGCTTTCTCCTCATAGATCAGTAGCTCACTGTCCAAAGTTACTGTGTTTTCGGTAATAATCTTGATGTCACCATTCTGGTGTCCTTCATTTGGCAATGTCCTTAAGTGGATATGCTCGTCCACACTTGATAATATTCTAGGAGAACTGAAAGCAGTGTAGTCCAGATCAGTGTACGTCGATATTTTCATGGATTCACCTGTGTGACACTGAACTTCATCACTGCAACTTGGATCTGTTGCAGTAACTAAAGTTTGTGCAATTACACCTTTCGTATCCTCCTGACAGTTTGATCCAAACTTGCGCCCTTCTGAATCTATAGAAGCAGCAACCACCTGTATGTCCTGCACAGCATTGTCCTCTTGGTCACTTATGTTGCTTAGTTTAGACTTCTCGAGAACCTTGCATGCCTGCTGTAAACCTCCTGGATTTTCCAAAGTTGGAGCAGGTGCTGGCCCATTGTCATTCATGCTACCTGAATTTTCGGAGATAATAATCTTCACATCCTCATCAATCGCATGCTTCCCTAGGCTGCCGTTTTCCTCAACTGCCACCCCACCATCCGATTCTGTGTTGCCAACTTCTAATGAAATTTTTCCGTCAGTTGACTGAGTATCTGGATCTCTCCTAGCATCATGCCAATCCTCCTCTGCCTCATAAAACTCATCTCCTGTATCTACGGAAGCAACGTCAGTCTCATCTCCGTCGTCGCCTACCTCTTCTAATGCAGCAGCGGGCTTGAAGGGATGAGGGTCTGAAAAGAGTACCTGGTTCAGAAGCTCTATTCTTAGATTTCATAATGCACAGGAGACAAACAGAAATGAAAATTGAAGAAAGGCATAGAAGCAGGTGAATTTAGCACCTCAGCTCGGAAGTCCCTTGGGAACTGATTATTCACATTCCACGCAGCATCAATATCATCACGATTCAATCCAAGGACATTTGATTGAATGAATGCAGTGTTGAACATGACGCGGAACATTGTTTCCTCGCGATCTAGTTTTTCGCCAATGTGGATGCATTCAAGAACCACGTCTCCCTGAACACGGCAAGAAGCACTAATTTTCACCGAAACTTCAGCCTGCATTGCAACCATCTGTCAGAGTAGAACTTGGGTAGTGATAAATATCTCCACAGCTTAGGAGTAATCATTACCTGCCCATGCCGCTGGAGATGTTTCTTGGTCTTGGGCGTCTCAAAAAGAACCTTTGCACTCTTGTTACCAGGACTCGAGTCTTGCCCGTGAATACGCAAATACGGCCTACAGCCCCCTTCGGAATCAAATCTAGGAACTGTGTGGAGAACTACAGAATCCAATATGAGAGGCCGGCTAATTGGAGGCCATTCTGAACCACTTCCATGTCTTGTTACATAGTGCAAATACCTCAGATGAGAAGACTGGGGATTCAACTTTAGGAATTGTTGTATGAAGTCCCTGCGAGCCTGCTTGTAGACCATCTCTAGAGTCTTGTGCTCACCAGTGTACGTTTTCCGATATAGAAGTAGTCCAGCCAACATGAATGCAAGCACTGGCCATCCCCCTCTTTCACAGTGCATTAGAAGCATGTTCTGCTGCCCTTCCACTGACAACCAATTTTCACATGATTTCAAGAAATGGTGGATCATCTCGAGCTGAAGGAGTGGGCAACCTTCGTATTGCTGTGGGTAGTCCATGACTGTCATGTCGTACTCAGACAATACATCTGAAATCCGACTCCTCTTGTCCCCAGACCAGAAATTGGAGACCATGAATGACGCATCGGGAAAGTAGTCCTGCAACTGCGCAACAATGCCACTCAAGTAATCCCTGTACTCATCCTCACCCATGGCCTCCGCGGCGAAGCAACAGTCGAACACTGAAACCAACATACCGATTGAAATTAGCACGGTCTCATGCTCAAATTTGCATCGTTCAACTAAGACTACAAAAATGGAGAACAGATCAAGTGCTGGCATGCTACCAGGAACCTCATCTTCATACTGCATATGTACTAAGCTCATGTTTCTAGACACAGCAAAGTATTTTATCCGCATGGTTTCATCAAGAGATAAGCACGCCATTATAACTAATAACTAGGTTAAAGGGAGTGAGCACCAACTGAAAATGTGGACATAATAATGCAGGCACTACTAGATGATTGTTGCATGTTTATAAGAAAAAAAATGCAATTAAATCCAAAGCTTCCCTAAGGGCCAGCATCCGACAAGGGCAAGACAAAATTCGAATATGGAAAGAAATAAAGCCGATTTAGCAGCTAAATCTGAGTCTTGTGCGCGCACACTGACGACCCAGAACTGGAGCGAATTCAACTTAACATCAAAATTTACTAAATCTAGCTCGCAGTGCTTCCGAACGCACTGAATTCCAGCTCAAATAATAGCGATAAATCCCCTGAAAGCAACAGTTCCCCGGAGCCCGAACCCCAAGCCGCGGCGAAAGCCCAAAATCCCCCTCGGAACAAGCAAATCCCCGCACTCCGGCGGCACGGCTCGACCCAGGGACGCGGGCATTATACCATAGACGCGCTCGGAGATCTCGAGCAGCCGATCCGGCGTCTTCTTGAGGAAGAACTTGCGGAACAGCGCCATCCTCCTCCTCCTCTTCCCCTCCCTCCCCTCTCGCCGCCGCCTCCGCCTCCCCGGCGGCCGGCGAGCTCCTCTGACGCCTCGAGCGGCCACCGATCGGCTCCGATCGGGGCGCCAAAGGCATGGGGGCGGCCCCGCCCCCGCCGCCGGCGAGCTGGGGGCAGTGGGCGACGCCCGCCGCGCCCCCTGGCGAGATCTCGCGAGGGCGGCCGACGCTCGCTCGCCGCGGCGGCCCTAGGGTTCCGCGGTGGCGGTAGGGGTGGTGGTGGTGGTGGTGGTGGGGAGGCAGCAGGCGGTCGAGGCGCCGTGCGATTGGGACTCCTCTTCCTCTACTACTGCTGCCGCTGCCTCTTTCTCCTCTCGCTGTTTAAACTCTACTTTAATTTTTCCCTTTCTCCTCCTCCCCCTTTCTTCCTCCCTCTCGCTGCTAATCTTTCCCCTCTCGCCGCAGCTGCTTCCTTCCTTGCCGAGTTTTTACTGCTGCGGCCCGTGCGCTTTTTCCGTTTTGTTTTCGGCGCCTTCTGCGGTGAATGTTTCCGTGACAGCGGTGGAGGCTGCGTGCTCTGCTCTGCTCGGCGACGCTGGTCGTTGGGGCCAGCTGCGGCGGGGACGGAGTGTCAGTGACCTGACGTGGACTGGTTAGGCCTGGGTTGGCGTGCGGGCGCGGAGAGGATTGGGCCTCGGGGGCTCTGCCGGTACGGACGTCTCCGGATTTTCCTTCTCTTTCCTTCCATTGCAGGCGAGGCGACGGACGGACGACTCGGATCTGGCCGAGTTTAGGGCTCCTTTGTTCATAGGATAGAAATATTGTAGGAATAGGAAAATCATAGAAGGTGAGATGACATGCATCTCAATTCTTATAGAAAAGGAGATGTCATTTGATGCATAGGATACGAATTTTTTCATTGAGTCTTAGCTAATGTTTTTTTCCTTCAAAATATGAAGGATTGATTCCTATCTTACATGGGAATAGGAATCCATTCCTACAAATCAAAGAGCTTTAAAAGAAATTTTCCTTTGCAAATCTATCCTATAGAAATTCTATGAAATTCCTATAAACCAAAGGAGGCCTTAGCCCGACGATTCTTCACTGTGGCTCCCCTAAGTTCCCGGGGATTAATGAGTGGGGAGGTTGGTGTGAGAAGAAGATCGTTGACATGAACGTGCATGGACTTGCTATTTTCTGGGAGGATCATGTGGTGCTGGTCAAATTGTTCTACTGCCAATTCTGAGCAAATTATATTACTGCCATTTGTACCGAAGGGATTTGAGCTCAGGTGGTGCATCAGTTCTTTCTAAAAAGGAAGTACAATACAGATTAGAAGATGAGATGGATTTTTTGTATGACTGTAATGGGCGAACGGTTATAAATACTTTGATGGGAAGAGATAGTAGTAGTGCCAGCTGCCTCCAGGGTCAGTTCGGCTGCTTCTATTCTTAATTAATTAATAAACTATAATACTAGAGTACTAAAGTAGTAGAGTAGTGTGCATTTTATGTAGTAGTACTATACTAGCTCTCCAACGGGAGCAGCATTTTGTTTGTAATGCGATTATCAATGCATCCTCACGGATCATGGAATAACTTTTTCCTCTGAACATGAAATAATTTATGTTTTCAGATGAGGCACAGCGGGGTGCACTTCTTAAATAAATTGGGAAAAGGAAAAAAGGATCCGTGGTGCTTGAAAAGCGTATTGCTGCATAACAATTGTACAATAGTGGTAGTACTAGTAGTTGTATTAAAATGTGACCACCAACAACCAACAATATTAGGACAAGAAACGGTGACCCCAGCAGCATCTTATCTGCTAGGTCCGGCAAGCAACGCATTATTGTCGCCTCTCCTTGATGTGGAACTCAACTCATGTTATCAGCCCACTGTTAGAGAACAGCGGAAACTGACGCTCGCTGTGATGTTACCTAATCTGCTCCCTCGGAAAAGAGTCCAGCATGCGTGCTAATTGAAGCAATCCAAACAATTCAAAAAGAAGAAGTGGCCTGTAACAAGCTGCCGGAGTGTCTCGGACGATAGGCAGTAAATTTGGTAACGCTCAAGCTGCAGTGAAGCAGTAAATTTGGTAACGCTCAAAGCGTAGCGCCACATTGAACCCACGAAATTCCACATTATTCTAGCGGTGGCATTATTTACCGTATCTATCTGCTTTACAAAATACGCCAAATAAATAAGTGACCAAGGTATCCGTTCTGAAACTAAATCGCCAACAACTGTTGAAAAGACGTCTCCAGAAAAACTTCACCCGCAAGCAAAGACCCACCTCGGCAAATCCAACGGCGTAGATCGCTCAGCACCCGACAAACGGACGGCTCCCCGCGCCCCACGCCCAGGATCCCATGCGGAGGAGCGAGAAGGGAACAAGTGGTGGTGGATGGCCGGGAGGAGACACGTGCAGACATGGAGAAAGGGGCCGCGCGCCAAACGTGGGGAGAAAAAACTGTAACGTGGTCAATTGTCAAAACGGAAAAGGTTACCGCACGGCGTGGGTCACTTCACTCACCGGCCGCCGTCGACAGGAAGGGGTGTGCAGGGCAGCGACGGCGACGGCGAGGCTGGACGGAAGCTTGGGAGATACGGCGAAGGCGGGCGATCCGAAAGAGTACGTACCGGATGTGTACGGGATGGCGACGCCTGCGTTTGTCGATAGCGTTTTGGGGCTTCCGGTACGGAGATGCGGATGGCGCTGAGCGGTACGGGGACGTGGGATGTTTCCTTTCTCTTTTTTCTTCTTTCCGTTTTGCCTTCCGAGATACTGGGGCGACGCGCGGAATAGTGGAGGTGTGTGGAGAGTGGAGACGGGGCGTGGGTAGATCTCCACGGGAAAAAGTCCATTTTAAACCTTGGATTCGTAGACGTCCGGCGAATCAAACCCTGAAGTCGAAATCCCTGTCGTTCGGCCCCCAAACTAACTAATCCCGGTCCAAATCTAACCTTAGTGTCGTTTTAGCCCTTAAAACGCTGACGTGGCCAGG